CTGCTGCTGCTGCTGCTGCTGCTGCTGCTGCTGCTGCTGCTGCTGCTGCTGCTGCTGCTGGGGATTGTGCTGGTGTTGTTGCTCCTGCTGCTGCCCCAGAGAGTGCTGCTGCTGCTGCAGACGATGCTGCTGCTGCAGATAATGCTGCTGCAGACGATGCTGCTGCTGCAGATAATGCTGCTGCGGCTGTTGCTGCTGCTGCTGCTGCTGACGCTCCTTCTGTGGATGATGCTGCTGCAGATGCTGCTGCTGCTGCTGCTGCAGATGATGGTGACTGTTATGGGAAAATTGGCGCTTTTGCTGCTGCTACTGCTGCTGCTGCTCCCGCTGCTGCTGCTGCTGCTACTGCTGCTGCTGCTGCTGCTGTCGACTTCGCATTCTTTTGCGCACAATGTCTTTGTACACCATTTGGCCATTTGCGTTTATCATTTCGTTTATTTTATTTTATTAATTTAATTTAATTTAGTTTAATTTAATTATTTATTTTTATTTAATTTAATTGTTTTATTAATTATTTTATTTTAGGTTTTGTCGCTGCCGCTCTATTTGCTGCTGAGGGTTAATGCCCTCAAAGACATAAACCTCTGGAGGTCTGGAGGCCGGAGGTTTTTGAAGAAAAGAATTTACATCAAGTTATCCAATCAGGTTTTCTAAACCCTAAACCCCAAACCCTAAACCCTAAACCCTAAACCCTAAACCCTTGGGCGCCACCTGAGAGCTTTCTGTGCCTTCGCGGCGTTCGCCCTGCCGAATAGATCGAGCCGTAGCTTCTAGGGTTTAGGGTTTAGGGTTTAGGGTTTAGCGTTCGGGGTTTAGGGTTTAGGGTTTAGGGTTCGGGGTTTAGGGTTTAGGGTTTAGGGTTTAGGGTTTAGGGTTTAGGGTTTAGGGTTTTGCGCAGGACGTGGAGGTATCCGAAACTGCTGCCCCAGGGTTTGTTCGCTACGACCTTGTCAGTACCCTTTTTGCAGTTTTGCCCGTAGGGGGGCCCCCAGGGGGCCCCCCGGGGGGCCCCCCGGGCTGGGGCTGGGGGCCCCCCGTGCAGCTTCATTTGCTAAAGCAGCAAATTCAGAAAGAAGAGGAAGAGCAGCAGCAGCAGCAGAAGAAAGCAGCTGCCACCTTGTGCTGCATGTTCGGTAGGAAGTCCCTAAACCCTAAACCCTAAACCCTAAACCCTAAACCCTAGGGTCTAGCGCGGGGCGGGCTGCGGGCGCTGGGCTGGCGCTGTTCCGTGCTGCTGCAGCTGCTGCTGCTGTTGCTGCTGCTGCTGCTGCTGCTGTAGGGTCCCTGAGGCTTACTGTACGCTGGAAGTGCAGCAGCAGCAGCAGCAGCTGAAGCAGAAGCAGCAGCGGCGCCAGCAGCAGCACGGCGAGAACCCCCAGCAGCAGCGGGACCGCAACGACCCCCCGCAGCAGCAGCAGCAGCAGCAGCAGCAGCAGCAGCAGCAGCAGCAGTGGCTGTGCATAAACGACTTCGTTTTGTCTTTTTGTCGAAGTCGATCTGTTTCCAACTTTTCTTATTCTTGGAAATTCCCTGCAGTGGTTTGTTATGCCCGCGGAGACACAAAAAGGGGAGACGCAATAAACCTCGGCCTTTTCAACAGGGTCTGCAAACCCTAAACCCTAAACCCTAAACCCCAAACCCTAAACCCTAAGCCCTAGCGCCACAGCCTCGGGAGACTGAAGGCGCCCGCAGCGCCTTCGCCCCGCTGCTGAGGTCGAGCGGGGCCCGCGAGGGTTTAGCTTCCGGCCCAGGATCTAGGGCTTAGGGTTTAGGGTTTAGGGTTTAGGGTTTAGGGTTTAGGGTTTAGGGTTTGCGCGCAGGGGCTGTGCAGCGGGGGCCCCGCGCTGCTGCTGGAGGGGGACCGGCTGCTGCCAGTTGCTGCTCCTGCGGAAAGTCCCTTCTCTTTAATTTGCTTCTCCAAAGACTTCAACTTTTCAGTCCATCCTGCTGCCCCCAGGCAGCCCGCCACCTTCACGCCCCTCTGTCCGCTGCTGCTGCTGCTGCTGCTGCTGCAGTGCTGCTGCTGCTGCTGCTGCTGCTGCTGCTGCTGCTGCTCTTGCTGCAGTGCTGCTGCTCTTGCTGCAGTGCTGCTGCTGCTGCAGTGCTGCTGCTGCTGCTCCACTCCTGCTGCTGCAGTGCTGCTGCTCCTGCTGCTGCTGCTGCTGCAGTGCTGCTGCTCTTGCTGCTGCTGCAGTGCTGCTGCTGCTGCTGCTGCTGCACCCATCCCTCTTTCTGCATTTGCATTTTAGTTTTGTTCCTCTTTGTGAGTCTTTTGCTTCTGCATGCAGCCCCAACAGAGTTGCTGCGAATGCAAGTCGCCAGAATCCGAATTGAAAAACATTTAAATCAAAATAATAAAACCAACTCCACCAGGGGGCCCCCAGGGGCCCCCCCAGCCCTAGAAGACAGGGGGCCCCCAGACGGGGCCCCCGGAGCCCCCCCGGGGGCCCCTGCGGGGGCCCCCGGGGGCCCCCCTGGGGCCCCCGAGGCCGCAGCAGGGGCCCCAGGGGGCCCCTCGGGGGCCCCCGGGGGCCCCCCAGGGGCCCCTGGAGGGGCCCCCAGGGGCCCCCCGGGGGCCCCCGGGGGCCCCCCGGGGGCCCCTAGAAATAGGGGGGCCCCCGAAGAAATAGATGGAGTGGAATTGTCGAGCGAGGGTTTTGTTGTTGGAGTTGACGCAGAGTTTGTTGCAGAAGTGACAGAAGCAGCAGAAATAGACCAAGATGGACGCAAAGAGATTCTGCAGGGGTCTTCGCTGGCGCTGGCGAGGCACGCGAGGGTTTAGGGTTTAGGGTTTAGGGTTTAGGGTTTAGGGTTTTGGAGCGGGCGGGAGGGCTGCGCTGTCCTCCGCAGGCAGGAGTTGCGACGCAGAGTTCGCGTTTCAGGGTTTAGGGTTTAGGGTTTAGGGTTTAGGGTTTAGGGTTTAGGGTTTGTGGCTAAGGCTGAGTCTGGTGCGGGGCCAGGGGCCCCTAGAAGAGGTCCCCTTCATCGACCATTATGTGCTCTTCAAGAAACCCCCCAAGGACTGCCTCACTAGGTAAACCCTAAACCCTAAACCCTAAACCCTAAACCCTAAACCCTTGCAGCTGCAGCGTGAGTAATTGTGTTATTTGCTGGAGATGATAAAAAGAATTAATTCTTTTCAATTTAATTTCTTTTTCTTCAAATTTCTTTCTTGCGCTTTTCGCTGCCGCTGCAGCTCCTCAAAATCCTCCCAATTGACACACTCATCTGCTCAACTAAATCACTTTATTTATTTTTTATTTTATTCATTTATTTATTTATTTATTTATTTATTTATTTATTTATTTATTTATTTATTTATTTATTTATTTATTTATATTCTCGTTTTTATTTTTAGATTCTCTGGACTGCGCGCTGAGGATTTGAGTTTGACGGATTCGGTCGTGTGGCTGTCGACTCGGAAATCCATTTTGCAGAAAATGCGATTTCTCGTGGATTGCAAGTGCATGTGGGGAAACAAATGAAATAAAAGGAATAAAATAGCAAATAAAGGACTTTTAAACGAGAAAATAACAAATAATAAAAGAAATAAACTCCCAAAGTCGAAAAAGTTGCATTCTGCATTTACTGCCAAAAGTTGAGGTGTACGTACACCTGGGAGCCGGCGCTTCGCTTCCGGCGGCACTTCGCCGCCGTTTTCTGCGCTTTTTGGCCGGGAAAAAAGCGGAAAAGAAGAACTTAAAATAATAAATGGATTAAATAACAAATTGAATCTTTTTGAGGGCTGTTTGGAGGTGTTTGCAGCTTCGTGGGCCACGGACTGCAGCAGGACTTCCGGGTGATGAACCTCTACGTGCCTGCGCAGCAAGTCATTGACACTGCTTATCTTTTTCGCATTCCTGGCCGCCGTCTTTTGTCTTTAAAGTTTCTTTCTGCATTTATTTTGCAAAAAAATATTCAAAATAAAACTCACGACTCAATTGAGGACGCGCAGACCTCTCTGCGCCTCTTCAGGTGACTTTCCTCTTTTCGCCTTTTGCCACTTCTGCCATTAATGCCATTAACGCCCCTTTGGCTTTTGTGAACATTTGCTGCATTTGCGCGCATTTGTATTTCTGCTTATTTATATTTGTTTATTTATTTCTGTATATGAATATATATATATTTTATAATATATATATGTATATATATATATACATATATATATATATATGTATCACCTATATATAGAGATGTATATATATAAATATAAATATATATATATATATATTTATGTGCAGAAAGAGAGAAGTTAAATTAATTCTTTTATTGCATATAAGTCCAATAATTATACGCATGCAAATCAATATAATAGACATTTAGACAAATATATATATCTATATATTTTATAAATATATATGTTATATATATGATATATATATATATATTTATTTATTTATTTTAAAAGGTATTTTTGAAAACGCATGCATGCACTTGAAAGGAAGAAAAGATAAAAGAGTTGGCCAAATGGATTTATTTTATTTTTAATTTTTTGATTTAAATTAAAAATAAAAAAATAAATTTAAAAGTCAATAAGTGAAATCATCTGCAGCAAAAGCAGTAAAGACACCGCGAGATTAAAATGCAGCAAATAAATAAATAATTGAAAACAAATAAATAAATAAATGAATAATAAATAAACGAAAATAAATAATAAATAAATGAAGTAATAAAAAATGAATATAATAAATAAATAAATAAACATAAATAAATAAATAAATGGGAGTAAATAAATGAATGAATAGCTGGAAATAAATAAATAAATAAATAAATAGCTGGAAACGAATAACTAAATAAACAAATGAAAATAAATAAATGAAAATAAATAAATGAAATTTATTTAGTAAAATATAACTGTCAGCAATAAATGCTTGCCTGGCAGTAAATTATTAAAAGACTTTCATTTTTGTTTATTTAAAAGAAATGGTATTATTTTAATGCCGTTTTTGAATTTTGCCATTAACGCATATCTGCTGTTTAACTTCCCTTTTGAACTTTTTTAAATTCCAATTAAAACAACTATAATAAAGAAGTTCAAATTAAAACAATTAAGTTCAAAGTAAAACAATTAAGTTCAAATTAAAACAATTAAAATGACTTTAATGGGGGAAAAGTTTGCATTTGAACTTTCCAAGTTTTGCTGCTGCACTTGGGGTGTATGTACACAGGAAGTATCTGCAGCTGCGGCGCTCGGGGTGTCTGTACAGCTGCTTGGAGCAACTTTACCAATACGGGAGGCTTTTGAACTTTTCGCCTCCCGCGTTGCCGCTAAAAGACTTTTTGGAAAGTCCAAAAGAACAAAAAGAAATAAATGAAAACAAATTTCCAAATAGCTCGAGCTTTCCGCGCTGAAGGAAGCTCTCCGGGTGTACAGACAGCTCCGGAAACGAAACGAAAGAACCTTTTTTGACCTCAGCAACTAACATAATTATTTTTTAAATAGTTTTCAAAAAAAAGGTCTTCAAAAGCTCTTTTAAACCATAAAATGAGTTTAGAAACGAAAGCTTGTTGAGGTGTACGTACACCTGAGCACACGCGCTGTACGTACAGCACAGAAGCCGCGTCTTATTTTATTTTTCAGATGAGATATTTGCGAAATAAAAACAGATTTATTTTATCCAAAATGCAAATGTAATTTGTTTATTTATTTATTCGAAGAGGCGTTTCTTTACAAATCGAAAGATGCATAAATGCATGCATATTTAAATGTGTTATTCATATTTTTATTTTAATCCTTTTTTCATTATGCTTATCTATACATTTATATATATTTTTGTCCCTAAACATGTATGGCATTTAAAACTATATATCTTTCATCCATTTATATATTTATTTATTTATAGTTAAAGCCCCTATGCATGCATGCATGTAATACGCACTGAGTCGTTTATATTATTTGTATTCATATTAATATTCAATTTTTATTTGTAAAAATAAAAAATAAAATATATTTCTCGAAGTCTGTAGATTTTGTTTCCACGAGCACTTTGAAGAAGATGTCTGTGTGTCCTCACTAATGCAAAAAGATGTTTCAAATTATCTGAATTTCATTTTTACTTCTTTTGTTTGCAATAATGAACTATAAACGTCGTGAAGTCTATTTGCACCTCTTTGGAGAAAGAAAAACTTATTTGGCGATGCAAAGTGGTCGAAAAAAGACAAAAATTCCTTTTCTCGGGTGTACGTACACCTGGTGTACGTACACCCGGTGTACGTACACCAGGTGTACGTACACCCGAGTGGAAAGCAGTGGATTTGTTTGGTTTCTAAAAACCCAACTTGGGATTTTCGAAAATGAATTAATTTTAGAAAACTGTGAAGTCAAAAGGGAAGAAATTTTGCAAAGTTCTGGCGGCCTTCAGGTGTACAGACACCTCACCGCTGCGACATGCATCTTAATTTGCAAGAAGAGGAAATAAAATTTTCCGACTTTTTGCAAACAAGATATATTTGTGGGGATAAAATTATAATTTATTCTACATGTTATAAAACATATTTGTAATATATTTTATAACATATATATATCTAAAATATACACTAAACATATATATATATATATATATATATATATATATATATATATATATATATATATATATATATATATATATATGCATGCATGCATAAACACATATACATAAATAAACACATATATATATATATATTTTGTGTTGGTGAAACACATTTAAATGGTTTTGAGAAAAAATAAATTTGCGGAAAAGAGTTTGTTGCATATAAACGTCTCTAAATAGCATTTGTTTGTTTTGAATTTGTTATTTAAATTGCATTTAATTATATTTCAGTTAAATTCAAATTCTCCATTTCTGCATTTATTCATATAAAAGCACATTCAGTTGTCTAAGGCGGCAAAAATACTACTAAAACTAATTAATAGTTTGCAGTTGCTAAATCAAAAGCCCCACTGACGGCCTGCTTCCTGCTGCTGCTGCTGCTGCCACGGCTGCTGCTGCTGCTGCTGCTGCTGCTGCTACGGCTGATGCTGCTGCTGCTGCTGCTGCTGCTGGTACCCCTGCTGCTGCTGCTGCTGCTGCTGCTGCTAAGAAGCTGGTTTGCTTGCTCTTCGTCGGATGCATGCGGCTTTTGCAAATAAATTCAAATTTGAAATAAATGAATTATTAATCTGCTGAATTGCCGCACTTGAAATAATTTGAATTATTTGTTTGCAAATTGGAACACTGCGCAGCTGAAGGGCTGTTTTAGTAAGTGGGAATTAAATAAAAAATAATAAAATAAAATGTGAATATAATGAAATGTATTTATTTTAAAGCAAAGACTCCAGTGGAAATTAGAATAATGCATTGACGGGTTTATTATTAGAACAAGGGATTAAATAAAGAAGAACAGAATTGTGGAAACGCACAAGTCCACGATTTCGATGAACTGCAGTTCAACTAATTGCTGCAGCAGCAGCAGCAGCAGCAGCAGCAGCGGGAGTTTGAGGGGGAGGAAAGTGGAGAAAATAATGGAAATGAATAAATGAACAGTGAAATAAAATGGAGTTGTTGGAAACGGAAGAAAGAACATAATTGGAAGAATTCAAATTTGCTGCTGCTGCTGGCTGGCATTGCTGCGGCGTCTGCGCCCGCAGCCGCGGGCGCCGAGCGAAGAGAAACAAAAACAAAACACAACTTGAAATAAATTGCAAAAGATTGCAAAGAATTAATTACAAAAGAACTCAACTGAATGCAGTTGCACTTAACCGCAATTAACGGGCGCAGGCGCACCGCGGGCAGCTGTACGTACACCCGAACGAGGCACCGCGAAGCGGCGGGAAGAACTCCGAAATGGAAAACTTTTTCACAACTAATTCCACTTTTGAAAATAAAATTGAATTAAAACAATAAAAAGAAACAAAATCAACTAAAGCCGCAAGGCGAGACAGACAGTCATAAAAGCCACTGCGGCGACGGCGCACACTGTGCAACGGCTGCAAGATTCTGTTCCCGGTCCCATTGGAAGCAATTGCGTGAACTTGGACTTTATTTTCGAATTCTTTTTAATTATTTTTATAATTATTTCACTTTTATTTCCATTTTCACTTCCCTCCGCTTTCAATTTCTCCAACTCGTTTCCCCCGCCGACCGCCGCGCCGGACTGCGGTGTCTGTACACCGCGCGCAGTGTCTGTACACCTGCCGCCCCCGGGCGGCTTTCCACACACATCGAGACTGCCACTTTGCTTCTCTTCATTGCGGCGCGCCGCAGCAGCAGCAGCTGCTGCTGCAGCAGCTGCTGCAGCTGCTGCAGCAGCTGCTGCTGCTGCTGCAGCTTCACATAAAATGAACAAACTCACACAAGTGACAGCTTGCGAGTTCATTCTTCGCAGTTCAAATTCAGAGCTCGCGAGACACCCCAGAGGCCCTTCCTAGCCGGTCTTTGCCGGGCGCTCCCCCTTTATTTATTTATTTATTTATTTATTTATTTATTTATTTATTTATTTATTATTTATTATTTATTTATTTATTTATATTTACTATTTGTTTTCTACTTGGGCTTTCTCTGTGCCTCGCTGAGACCTCGCTGGCCCTTTTGGCCCCACATCTCCTCCCTCCATTGCTGCTGAACTTGCTGCTGCTGCTGCTGCAGGCGCTACCTGCTGCTGCCGCTGCTGCAGCGGCTGCTGCTCTTCCTGCTGTGGCGTCGGCCTCTGCTGCTGCTGCTGCTGCTGCTGCTGCAGGGTTGCCGCTCCCGCTGCAGCCGCCATTGCTGCTGCTGCAGGGCCCCTGTCGCTGCTTCCTCAGTGGCTGCTGCTGCCTTCGCTGCTCCAGCAGGGGCCCCTGCTGCTCCTGTCCTGCTGCTCCTGCTGCTGCTGCAGTGGCTGCTGCTGCTGCTGCAGTTGCTGCTGCAGCTGCTGCCAGCTGCAGCTGCTACTAACGCTGCCTTCTCCCGCGGCTCTATGCGCCCGTTCGCCGCACCCACACATCCTCTGCCAGCGTTGGCTGCCGCCGCTGCTGCTGCTGCTGCTGCTGCTGCTGCTGCTGCTGCTACTGCGGCTGCTGCTGCTGCTTCTGCCCCCCCCGCTGCATCTGCTGCCACCGCTGTTGCAGCGGTGTCAGCGGCTTCGCGGGCTGCTGCTGCTGGGGCTGTCGCTGCTGTTGCTGCTGCTGCTGCTGCTGCTGCTGCTGCTGCACGGGTGGGTGAAGCAGTGACCGCCGCTGCCACGGCGACGTTGGCTGCTGCGGCGTTGGCTGCTGCTGCGGCGTTGGCTGCTGCTGCGGAGTTGGCCGCTGCTGCGGAGTTTGCTGCTGCTGCGGCGTTGGCTGCTGCTGCGGCGTTGGCTGCTGCTGCGGCTTTGGCCACTGCTGCGGCTTTGGCTGCTGCTGCGGCGTTGGCTGCTGCTGCGGCGTTGGCCGCTGCTGCGGCGTTAGCTGCTGCTGCGGAGTTTGCTGCTGCTGCGGAGTTTGCTGCTGCTGCGGCGTTGGCCGCTGCTGCGGCGTCGGCCGCTGCTGCGGCGTTGGCTGCTGCTGCGGAGTTTGCTGCTGCTGCGGCGTTGGCTGCTGCTGCGGCATTGGCCGCTGCTGCGGCGTTGGCCGCTGCTGCGGCGTTGGCTGCTGCTGCTGCTGCTGCTGCGTCTGCTGCAGCAGCGACTGCGAGCGCGGCTGCAGCTGCGGTGATGGCTGCCGTTGTAACAGCTGCCGCTGCAGTGGCTGGTGCAGTGGCTGCTGCAGTTGCTGCTGCAGTTGCTGCTGCAGTTGCTGCTGCAGTTGCTGCTGCAGTTGCTGCTGCAGTTGCTGCTGCTGCGACTGTTGCTGCATCATTGTTCGCAGCAGTTCTTGCTGCTGCTGCTGCAGTGCGCGGTTCTCGTCCGGCTGCTGCTGCGGCCGTTGGTCCAGCAATGATTGCAGCAGTTCTTGCTGCTGCTGCTGCAGCTGACGGTACCAGTCGGGCTGCTGCTCCTGCTGCCCCTCCTGCTGCTGCTGCCCCTGCTGCTGCCCCTGCTGCGGCTGCTGCTGCTGCTGCTGCTGCTGCTGCTGCTGCTGCTGCTGCTCCTGAATCTTTTCGACAATGGAGTACCCCACAGTCACGAGTTTTTTCAAAATGTCCAGGCGGGGACTTTCGCCGACCATCTTCAGCAGCGTCTTGTGGGCTTCGTCTGCGTTCTTGACCACTTGGGCGAGAGGCATCCGCTGCTGCTGCTGCTGCTGCTGCTGCTGCTGCTGCTGCTGCTGCTGCTGCGGGCCCCTGACCTCCGCGCGGGCCGTGTCCTGCAGCCACTCGGCCCAGCGCCTGCTGCAGACCTCCGCGCCCACCTGGACTTCGGCCTTGAGGCTCTGCACTGCAGCAGACAAGTCCGAGATGAGAGCAGCAACAGCAGCAGGAGCGCTGTTGATGCTGCTGAGGATTATCTTCATGGTTTTCAAGTTGTCTCCGACGAACAGCAGCAGCTGCGCGCCCTCAGTGACCCGCAGCAGCAGCTCGTCCACGTAGGGGGGCCCCTGGGGGGCCCCCTCGGGCTGCCGCGCCGCCTGCAGGTTTGCTGCTGCTGCAGCAAGCTGCTGCACGTCGTACTTAGTCCGCTGCTGCCACAGCCCCACCACGTGCTGCAGCAGCAGCTCGGCCTGCTCCGTGCACTTCTCTCTCGCGTCCATAAACGCTGATTTAGTGTCTTGCTGCAGCGCGCGGTGCAGCTGCATGTCTTTGCTCTGCAGCAGCGCAGCAGCAACCTGCAGCAGCAGCAACTCAGCGTCCTCCAGTTCTTCCAAACTTGGGGGCCCCCCAGGCTGGGCCCCCATTAGCTGCTGCCACAAGTCCACCAGTTCTCTTGTGGCTCTGTTGGCGAGGTCTTCCAGCCGCTGCAGCGTGGCTTCTGTGTCTGCGTCCACTCCCCGTGCTGCTGCTGCTGCTGCTGCTGCTGCTGCAGCAGCAGCGGGAGTCGATGGCGGGCGCGAGCCCGCAAACGCCGCGCCCGGGGCAACCGCTGCTGCGCCGGGGGCCGCTGCTGCGGCTCCGGGGGCTGCTGCTGCGGCTCCGGGGGCTGCTGCTGCGGCTCCGGGGGCTGCTGCTGCTGCTGCTGCTGCTGCTGCTGCGGGTGCAGCAGGAAGGGAAGTTCGAGGTCCTGCTGCGCTGCGGAAGCCCACAGGTGGCTGTGCTCCTCTCAGCTCGCTCAGCGGGATGCGGAGAAGTGCTGCTGCTGCTGCTGCTTCCTTCAGTGCTTGTCCAAGTGCCTGCCGCTGCGACTCTGGGGAGTCCGGCGCTGCTGCTGCTGCTGCTCCGGGTGCTGCTGCTGCTCCGGGTGCTGCTGCTGCTGCTGCTTGCGTCGGCGGGTCTACTCTGCTGTGTCTTTGGTCTCTGGACTTGTGGGGGAGCGTCGGGAAACCTGCCCCGTCAGCTGCTGCTGCTGCAGGTGCTGTTGCTGCAGGTGCTGCTGCTGTTGCTGCAGGTGCTGCTGCTGCTGCTGCAGTTGCGTCTGCGGCGGCGGGCGGAGGCAAGAAGGGCGCTTCTGCTGCTGCTGCTGCTGCTGCTGCTGCTTCGGCCATGGCTGCAGCAGGCATCTGGGGCTCCCGCGCTGGAGGCCTGAAGGGCTCGCGGCGCCGGGGCTTCTCCGAAGCCGAGCGTCCCAGAGCAGCATGGGCAGGAGCAGCAGCAGCAGCAGGAGCAGCAGCAGCAGCAGCAGCAGAAGCAGCAGCAGAAGCCTTGCCAACTCGGAAGCGAGACAGCAGCGGCCACCGCCGCGGGGGGTCCCGTGGCTTTGCTGAGGGCTCAGTGAAGACCACTGGAGTCTCTGAAAAGGAAACGGACTTCTTGACAGGGTTCTTAGGAGTTGGTGCTGCTGCTGCTGCTGCTGCTGCAGCAGCAGATCCCGGCGCTGCTGCTGCTGCCCCTGGCGCTGCTGCTGCTGCTCCGGGCCTTGCTGCGGGTGCTGCGGGTCCCGCTGCGGGTGCTGCGGGTCTTGCTGCGGCTGCTGCTGGCTGCTGGAGGCCGAGCGCAGCAGCAGCAGCAGGCCGTGCTGCAGCAGCAGGAGCGGAGAGGGAAGTTTGCTGCTGCTGCGGGGGCCCCTCGGAGGGCCTGGAGGCCCAGGTGGGCGTGGCGGGGGAAGAGCTCCTGCGGAGAAGTGCTGCAGCGCCGCCGCCGGGCGCAGCAGCAGCAGCAGCAGCAGCAGCAGCAGCAAGCGCGGGGGCGGGGGCCGCGCCCGTGGCCAGCAGCTTTTGGTTCAAAAGATGAGCAGCAAAGTCCACTTCATTTGCAGGATTGTGGAGGCCAACAGAGCGCAGCAACTCAACCACAATAACAGCTTCCTGGACGAGGTCTCGGGCTTCCTTTTGCTGCGCAGCAGCAACTGCTGCTGCTGCTGCTGCTGCTGCTGCAGTGGGCACGTGGGCCACGCGCAGCTGCTGCACCAGCCAGGAGGCCATCTGCATGCACTTGGCCTCGTCGGCCGGCAGCAGCGGCCCTGCAGCAAAGACTTCGTGCTGCAGCACCTTGCGAGCAGCAACAAGGGCTTGTGCTGCAGCAGCAGACAAGTAGCGATCGGAAGCAAAGGAGCGAGCGAACAGCAGCAAAGCTTCTCTGTCTTGAGAGGAGTCCCACTGGGCCCGCTGCAGCCGCTGCTGCACCCGCTGCAGCTTCTCGCTGACAGTCTGCAGCTGCTGCTGCCGCTGCTGCAGCACTGCAGCAGAAGCCTCCACGATGCTGCTGCCCAGCGACAGCCGCTCCGACATCTGCTGCGACTCCGAGACCCCCTGCTGCGCTGCTCTCACCGCCTGCTGCAGCTGCTGCTGCTGCTCTTCCTGGCCGCGGGCCTCGAAGCCCAAAAACTGAACTTCTTGTCTTGCCAGCAGCACCATTTGCTTCTCAATGCCATTAAGGCCCACTAAGTTTTGCTGCTCCGTGCTGAGAAGGTCTAGCTGCCGGTGCAGCGGCGAGCGCCGCCGCACTCCTGCTGCTGCTGCTGCTGCTGCTGCTGCTGCTGCGGGTGCTGCCCCCACAGAGGGCGACCGCGCCGCCGCGCGCTGCCGGTACGCCCCCGCGGAGGCGCCCGCAGCCGCTGCTGCTGCTGCGTCCTCCTCTGCTGCTGCTGCTGCTGCTGCTGCTGCTGCTGTGCCGCGGCAGGCGTCCCCCCCCGCAGCCAAAGACCTGTTCACCAGCCCCCACGAAGAAGGCCGCGAGGGCTGCAGCGCGCGGGCGCAGGACAGCAGCAGGAAGAGCACTGCTGAGAGCGACAGCAGCAGCCCCACGCGCGCTGCTGCTGCTGCTGCTGCTGCAGCGGGAGCAGCAGCAGCAGCCGCGGGAGCGGCCGCGCGGCGCGGCGGGAGCGAAGCCGGCAGCAGCAAGTCGGCGTCCGGCAGCGCGACAGAAGCGACGGCTTCCGGGCGGGAAGAGGGCTCCTGCTGCTGCTGCTGCTGCTGCTGCTGCTGCTGCAGCTGCAGCAGGCCGTCGTCCTGCAGTGTCTGTACACCGCAAGGGCGAGCGCCCGCGGGACCCAAGAGCTGCAGCGCCGCTGCAGCGCCCGAGCAGAGCAGCAGAATCCGCATTGGGAGAAAAGCAAAGAATCAAAAAGAAAAGAAAAAGGACATGTTAGACCGGGGCAGCCGCGAGCCGCGACCCCCGCTGCTGCTGCTGCTGCTGCTGCTGCTGCTGCTGCTGCTGCAGGCACGGCGTGAACCTGTGGGACTCGCGGCGGAGAGGCTCCGAGGAGGCGGAAGGGCTGCGATGAAGCTGCTGCTGCGGACTCGACGCCAGAGCCGCTTTAGGCCGCTGAAGAAAAGCGCCTGTGGGGGTCGGGGCCTGAGAGCACTTTTCTGCAAATAAGTCCGTCGAGCGAAGCAAAGGCGAAATCGAAGATCTCGGAAGATCTTTGAACTCCAAAACTTAAAAAGATTGACAACAGTGAGCGCTCGCCGCTGCAGCGCGGGCCGCGCCGCTGCTGCAGCAGACAGGCACAGCGAAAGACGGCCAGCCCGCGCCTCGGTCGAGCGCGGCTTTCCGCCGCTGCTTTCCAAGTCCGCGCTGCTTTCCAACTCCAAAAGCCGAATTTCAAGTTCAAAAGGCAATTTTTAACTTCGAATTCGCTTTTTTTGGACCCACTTTGCTGTTTTCCGCCAACTCCGCCCCGCCGCGCGCCTGCCAGCCGCCGCCCGCCCCGATCTGCTCCGCCGCCAACTAACGCCCTTGCGCCACCCCTCTCAACGCGATCCTCTTCTTTTCTGCAAACAAAATTCCTTTTTAAATTCAAATTCGCATTTTGGGGCCCGAAGCCGCGCAAACGCCGCCCGGAAGCGCGCCGCGCTCATTGAATTCCACCCGCCCCCTGCCGAGCCTCAGCTTCCCCACTGGGGACTTCGCCGCTTTTAGTGCAAAGCGCCCGAAAAGCCTTTTAATAAATCAGAAATAACCCTAATTCCTAAAACGCAACTTTTAACGCAGCAATTCGACACTTTTCGCAGCTTCTTTCTCCACAGATTCACTTCTGGGGGGCAGGTGCACCAACTCGGGGTTCCCTCCCACCTCCCGCTGTACAGACACCCGATCCGAACTCGCAATTCTTCTTGCTGCTCCCAATTGCTGCAAAGCCGCACTTTAATTCTAAGAGTTACTTAGACACTTTAGAAGCAGCAGCAGCAGCAAAAGCAGCAGTTGCACGGCGAGAAAGGACCAGCCTGTCTGCTTTTGCTCGCTCTTGCCTCTTTGCAGCACTTAAGCAACTGGCTGCGCAGTTTAAAGAAAGCCAAAGGCTTTTGCAGGCCAATTCAATATTAGCTTTCCGCAGACAGAAATGCCCACCAGGGGCTTCTTTGCAGGCTCCCGAGACTCCTTTTGGCAGGCCAAAAGGCCGAAAAGTGCGCAAATGAAGTCACTGACACTTTTGAAAAAACTTGAAAATGCTTTTGAAGTTCAGCAGACACCCGAAAGCTGAAGTTGCGCATTGTCTATGCGCGCAGCGCCGCGGCCACAGCCGGCTCGTTCGCTGCAGACCCCTCAATGCAGAGCTTTCCCAACTGGCACGAAAGCTGCGAGTCCACACTTTTATATAAATGATATAAATGCATTCATTTAAAGAAAGACATCGCGCGAAACTCCAGGGCCCTCAGCTGTCTACGCAGCTGCCCCCTTGGTCACTCGCCACTGCGCGCTGCGGCGTTTCTGCGGATCCTGCAGCTAAAAGTGCGCCTTTTGCAGAAAATCCCGCAAAATTAGAACTAAAAATGCAAAATTAAGCAATTAATTCTATGAATTCACTTTGAAATAGATTTTGTACGCGACGAAGAAGACCAGGCAGCAGAAGCAGCCGCTGCCGTCGAGAAACTCGAAACGCGACACAGCTTTTCTTCAACTTCAAGTCTTAGAAACTCTCGAATTGCTTTCTGCACGCAAAAGATGCTTCATGCAGCTCTAAATGCCCTTTCAAGGAAAGCTCGGGGCTTTTCAGGAGTTGCACTTCGTCACTCCAGATGGCAAACTTCGCTGTGGTGTCCATTCTAGCCGCAATCTGCCACTAAAAGGCTCTAAAAGTCCCTCAAAATGTCCTAAATTTCCCTAATATCGACCCGTTAGCCTCTTAGTGCTGTGGGAAATCATTGAAACTGAGTGAAATGGCGGAAATTCAATATCGGGCCACCTCCAGGGGGCTGAGGCGGAGGCTCAACTCGGGAAAGCGATCTAGAGGAATCTGGAAAGATTCGGTTCCTTTTTAAAGGACAAAAATTGAAAAAAACTGCTGCCAAGAGAATATTTAGTCCATATTCCAAGAATATTCGAAAAGAGAAAGGATTTCTCCGTCTTCTCTCAAGGATCGCACTGAGCTCGTTTCTGCATACAAGTCCAAACAGTGAGAAATGCTGTTTGGTGTTCGTAAATCAAGTGAATGCTTTTAATTAAATTGAAAATTAAAAGAAGTAACTGCAAAAAGATGTCCAGAGTGGCCAGAGGCGGCCAGCAATTCGATCCAAAGGATAAAATCCACAAAATCCACAACAACTGGGCCTCCAGAGCCCGAAGGTTCTATTTTTTGGTCAAAAGCATATTCTAACTATTTCCCCGACAAATTAATTCGCAAAACTGCATTTTTAATGCCCCACTTTCAGCAAATCACCTCTAAAGCTGCTGCTGAGGAAGTTCAGATCGAGCGCTTTTCTTGCACTTCTCGTCGCAACTTTGCGGAAATAGGCTGGCTTTTACAAATCTCTTCTCTTTCCAGTCTTTCTGAGATTCTATATATTCCTGGATGTTCTCATTTGTCCCAGTAGAAAGCAAGAATGGGCTAGCCAACTGATAGGAATATCAAAGCCAGCCTTCACTGGGGCGTGCTGATCCAGGTGGAAATGCAGCACTTCCGCCACAAGTTCAGGAAAAAACCCGCATAAAAAGCGCTGCAAATGGGCTTTTATTTTGTAGTTGTAGTGAAGGCAAAGCTCACGCAGTAGAAATTGAAAAATCCGCAGAGTTTGCGTCGCATTCATCCCTGATTCCACAATTCAACTTTTGCAGATGTTGAACGCGGGCCAGATGCCCCTGAGTTCAACTCTTCAGTGTTGAGGATAAAACATAAATGAAAAGTTGGAACTTTTTGTGAAGTAGGAGTGCCACAGAGCGTCTTAAGTGCACGGCTGTGGAGTTAGTTCAAATTCCAGTGCCAGCGAGCTTAGTGTTTCTTGAGAAGGAACTGAAATATGAGGCCTCTTTGCATTCTGGAATTGCATTATATTGCAAGTTAATTGTGTATTGCAAGTTAGGAGAGACGCCTCGCAGTTGTGTAGTGAGAGAATCTCGAAACTTGACCAAAAAAGCAGTTAGTTGTGAAACTCTGAAGGCATCTTGAAGCTCTCTCAGTCGCTGTAGATGACTAAAAGAGCCAAAAGACCTGCAGAGAAAGTCTTTCTGCTTCTTCAAAGCTGTGAAGAAAGCCAAGAGTTCCAATCTCAGTTTCCTTTTCCTGCTTTCTATGGCTCACGTGGGCCCGCCGGAAGAGACCAGTGGGTCTGTGAGCGGCAAAAAGGGCTTTTAAATCTAAACATTTCATAGATGCGATAGGCTTTGTGACTCGCAGACAGAGTTCTACAGTTCTACCGAGAAGATCCTTTTTGTTTCAAGTTTCAAGTCTAGCGACAGAGTAAACTCTGGCTGTTTTGTGTTGCTGTTTTGAACAAATGCTGGCAAAACAAATAGTCACTTCAAGAGAAATGGAACTTTCAGGGGCATCTGGTGTTCTCCGCAGCCCGCGCATTCAGCTGCACCCCGCGAAGCCCAGCAGCTGCTGCAGCAGCTGCTGCAGCAGCTGCAGCTGCTGCTGCAGCTGCAGCAGCAGCTGCAGCAGCAGCTGCAGCAGCAGCTGCAGCAGCAGCAGGGGCAGCTGGAGCGCTGGCGTCTGCTTTCAAGGAGTTGCAGCACCGGAAATGCCCTGTCCCGGGGAACACATGGCGTTTGCAAGTTGTCAACTTCAGGAAGCCAATGAAGACGACTTCCGAGCACAGCACAGCGCAAAACTTGTCTGCATTTCGAAAAGAAACACACAATCCAAGCATTTTGAGTAAATCCAACATTCACATGAGAACATTCTCCGAGAAACTGCATATATTCGCAAGCACCGGCGCCGCCCGCAGCCCCGCGGAGCTGCGGCCAGCTGCGCCGATGCCGCGCCGCCCGGGGGCTCCAGCCTCTGCACTTCGCCGCCACGAGCTCTTTTTGAAAAATAAGAAACTCCGAGGGGAGATCGCGGCCCCTTGGCGCTCGCAGCTCGTGTCAGTGAAGCCGTGTCAGTGAAGCCTCGCGGCCGCTGCGCCCGCCGTCGCCTCGCCGGCGAAAAAACGCCCCCCAAGGACAGCTGTTGCGGCAGATATGGGGCCGCAGGCAGCACCAGCGCATGCATGCATGCGCATGCATGCGCATGCATGCATGCGCATGCATGCACTGCACAGATCTGCAGCTGCATGCGCGCCGCCTGCGCGTCTGCGGGCCCGAGAGGAAAGCCGCGGCCCCCCGCCCTGCGGCTTTTGCGGAGAGCAGCCAGAGCTCGGCAGCTGCAGCAGCAACGCAGCAGCAGCAAAGCAGCAGCAGCAAGTCGCGGCGAGCGCCTAGCAGCAGCCGGAGCTACTTGCCGGCGGGGGCCCCCCCCGGGCCGCCGGCCCAGTCGCGGTCGAAAGCCCCCCCGGGGGCCCCCCCGGGGGCCCCCCCCCAGGGGGCCCCCCAGGGGGCCCGCCCGGGGGCCCCCCCGGGGGCCCCCCCGGGGGCCCGCCCGGGGGCCCCCCCAGGGGCCCCCTGGGGCCGTTGGAAGGCGGCGTAGACCTCCGCGGCCTCCTGGAGGGCCTCCTCGAGTTCTTCGAACTGGGGCGCGGGGGCTGCGAGGCGGTGGAGGCGGAGGAGGAGCTGGCGGCCGTCGTGGGTGAGAGTGCGGAGTTGCTGCGCTGCTGCTGCTGCTGCTGCTGCTGCTGCTGCTGCTGCTGCGGGGCCGCGGCGGAAGGGCTGCAGCGCGCGGGCCAGCTCGGCCTCGCAGGGGGCGCCGAGGCTGTCGGCGGCCTGCACGAGCTCCGTCTGCGCAGAGTCGATGGCTTTGCGGAGTTCAACAACTCCTTGAAAAAGAAAAGGAAGAGAAGGCCTTCCCGTGGCCAAAGTGAACATCTCCGAATAGAGTTTTTTGGCTAAGTCCAGCTGTTCTCTGCAGCTTTCCATTTCCTCCTCGAGGAGGTCTTGCTGCCAGGCGGGGGCGGCGGGGCGCGCGTGCTGCCGCTGCTGCTGCAGCGCAGCAGCAGCGCGCTGCAGCTGCTGCTGCTGCCGCTCCACCTGCTGCAGCCAGTGCGGCTGCAGCGCAGCGCCGAGGCCGCTCAGCGAGCGCTCGCACATCTGCAGCGCCAGCTGGAAGGGCTCTGCAGCAGCAGCAGCAACTCCCTCCACATCTGTGTGCAGCGCCACCGCTAAAACACCAATTCCGTGTTTAAAAACCCTTCCCATCTCTTCAAAACCCTCGGGACTTCCATCCACTCTCCGGGCCGCCTTGCCGGCGTCGCGGCTGGCCAGCAGCGCCAGCGCCATCTGCTCCTTCACCCTCGCCGTCTTGTCTGCTGCTGCTGCTGCTGCTGCTGCTGCTGCTGCTGCTGCAGCAGGGGGGGCGGGCGCGGGCGGCGGCGGGGAGGGGTAGGCCAGGCTCCCGAAGAGCGCGGGGCCCTCCCCGGGGCCCTCGAGGCCCCCCTCCTCCTCCTCTGGACCAGTGGTCTGGTCCAGCAGGGCCTCGAGGGCCCCCATGGCCTCCAGCAGCCCCGGGGGGGCCTCCGCGTGGCCGTCCTGCTGCAGCTGCTGCAGCTGCCCGTGGGCGTCTTCGAGGGCCCCCTCTGCTGCTGCCAGCAGCGCCGCGCGGTCGCCGCGCCAGCGCGCAGAGGTCTCCGTGAGGACTTTGAAGTGCCTCCAGAGGGTCTCTTCGAAGTCCGGGGGGCCCCCCCGGGGGGCCCCCCGGGGGGCCCCCAGGGGGGCCCCCCGGGGGCCCCCCTGCTGCGGCGCCGCAGCAGCGACTTTGCGCAGCCGGAAGGCCTGCAGCACCCGCTCGGCCGCAGCCACTGCAGCAGCAGCGCGGAGGCTGAGCCGCGGGGCCCCGCTGCTGCTGCTGCTGCTGCTGCTGCTGCTGCTGGCAGCCAGCAGCTCCGCGCGGCGGGCCTCCTGCGCTGCAGTGTACCCCATGAGGCCCCGCTGCTGCTGCTTCTCGTCGAAGGCCGCCCAGGCGCTGCTGCTCTGCTGCTGCGAGTGGTCCACTGCCAGCTGCAGCGAAGTGACCACCGCTGCGCCCGCCTCCGCCTGCAAGTACTGCTGCTGCGCGCGCCGCAAGTCCTCGCGGACTTGGCGAAGTTCTTCGTCGATCTTCGCAGCACTTAAGTACAAAACTTCCAACTCCGCCTCCACACTTCGCAGGCTTTCCGCGGCCATTTCCACCAGCCGCCGCTGCTGCGGCGACAGCAGCGCGGCGTCGCGGGGCTCCAGCGTCAGCAGCTGCACCTGCAGGTCCACGCCGTCGCCGGGGGGCCCCGGGGGGGCCCCCGGGGGCCCCGGGGGGGCCCCCAGGGGGGCCCACCGGGGGGGCCCCGGGGGGCCCCCGGGGGCCCCGGGGGGGCCCCCCGCTTCCGCGGCCTCTTCCGCGCGCAGAGAGGCGTCTCGGGGCCGCCACCGCGGCAGCAACTTCGTCTGCAGCGAAGAGGCCGAGCAGAGCAGCAGGTAGGCTGCTGCTGCTGCTGCTGCCAAGACGCAGAGCCGGCCCTTGCAGAGCCGCCGCGGGGGCCGCGGCGGCCGCTGCTGCTGCAGCGCCTGCAGCCTCCACTTGGCCTTCAAATCCACGGCCAAGTCCTCGTCATGGTGGCCCGGGCCCTTGCGCTCCTCGGGGCCCCGCGGCGCGGAACTCCGCGCAGTTGGCAGCGAACAAACAGCGGCCGCCACAGCTAATGCGGCATAGTTCTTGAGCATGGCGGCCCAGACATCCAGCTGCCATCAAACTGTGCAAAAAACTGGCCGGGAACTGCAGCAATTCCCGTTCAACGGCTCCAAAGACGCACTTCTGCATGCAAAACGTGCAACTTGCACAGCGACGCCCCAGGCCAGACGGCGCGCAGCAACGCAAAGTAGCAGGAGTGTAAAAGCCGCAAATTGCAAAAACAATAAAACCTGAAGGAAAAATGCTGACGCAGACCCAAACTCCACCCGACGACGCAGCTGCAGCGAAGCCCTGTGAGGCACTCCGCCGCCCGCTCCTTGCCCTTTTTCCCCGGAATACCTTCGCAATCTCGGGATTTCTGCCTCTTCTTGACGCCAGAAATCAGCTTTTCTTCTTCTTTTCCCTTCAGCTCCCGCAACAACTCACGGCCTGCCCGTCGTCCGGGAGTTGGCTCCCGAAAAATTGCGCCCAGCCTCCTCCAACCTGAAAGCCAGCGGCGACGCTCCCCCTTCAGATCACGCTTCAGCTAATGAAGACTTTACTTACTTAATGCCACCTTTTCGACATTTAGCAGCCAAATAATTAAAACTGTAGCTCACTTAACAGGAATATACCCTGATCGGCCCTGGTATGCCACATCAGGATGTGAGCGAGGAGACTAGTGGAGGTGTGTATGTCTGGGAACGTGAAGTTAATGAACTGCTTTCCCCAAGTTACTTCGCTGAAGCTTCAGAAAACTAATTAATCATATAAAGGGCCATTTTTTCGCCCAAAAGCTTCTCCTAGGGCTCCTAAATATACGAATATGCCCTGGCGGGCATTTGAGACGGCGGCGCCAGCCTGTTCAGTTTGCACTCGAAGCTGGTTGTTTGCAGAAAGAACAAAGATATCTGCTTTCCAAGTTGCTTGCTTGCATCAAATTGGCATAAAACGCATTTGAAATTCCAAATTTTGCAATATTTCGGGGCGAAAGACGCCGACGCGCCTCCAGCGGGACTTCTCCAGCAACCAGGAGCTGGTTTTGTTCAACTTTTTCAGAAAGGAAGTAAACTGCGCAAGCAACTCCGAAATCTACAGAGGATGGCTCTAGGAAGAACCAGAACGTGATCACTAGACCTTAGACTTGAGTTCTTCGAGCAGCATTTGACTTTGTTCCATTTTGCAACTTTGCGTGCTGGAAACGTAAGGATTAGGGAGGATCGGGTTGTTACTGCGTAGCCCAGGCAATCTAACTCACTTTAGATGTGTGAAAAAAGCTGATCATTGAACAATTAGTTGCAAATACAGCGTTGTTGTTGTTGTGAACACCAACAAAAGTGTGCTCACGTGCACGGTGCTGATTGACTGAGGCGCTGGAGGAAGAAAACAAAGAACTCCGTGACCCATATTGCTTTCTTTGTTTTGGCCCCCCCGGAGGTCCAGCTGCAATTGAGAATCCAGATAGAAGCCAGGCAGCCTCTGCAGCGTCAAAGGAGCCCGTGTTGAATTAAAACAGTCGCAGGTTGTCAATGAATACTGGTGAGAGGCTCAAACTCAGCACAAGTGCAATGTATACCAAAAGCAGCAGAAATGCAATGCATACCGGCGTCTACACATGAGCAACGAAGGTTTCTTGCTGAAAGCCCACTGAGCTTGCTGGTGTGCTGCCAGCTGCAGCTCCTGCGGCCCAGCAAACCTGAATACTTGCTAGTTTTCGGTAACAGTGCGATGAGCCCCTCCAAATAGTTCACTAGACAAGCACAAGTCCCGCCTAGACCCTACAAACTTGCTGAACTCACAAGAAGCCTCTGCCTCTTGCCAGCCACTGGCTGCCACCATGTTCACTTTCAACAGCTCGAGAGCAGACGAAGGGAAGCCGCCTTTCCTGAGCTCCACGCAGCTTCCAGCTCAGTTCTGGGTTCATGGTTGACTTGTAACGTAGTCGAGAACATCTTTAACTTTCCTTCCCTTTTCCACGCTATCTGGGATTCGCCGCTTGGCGTCTTCTGCGTCTTCCCCTCCTCCTGTTGCCCTTTGTTTCAAACCATCCAGATATTTGCCCCACCCACGGCCGCATGCGCCTGCTGCTGATTTCAAAAGATCACTCATTCTTCCCATTTTCTCTTCGAGTTTACGCAAAGCGTCATCAAGCCTAGGCGTTTCCAGCCACGGAGCGGTCAGCCTGCCCATATCAATCCACTCGCCATGTGCTGTTCCAAGTGCGTCACGCCCTCTCCTGAGAGCGTCAACAGCAGGACTACTTATATCATGAGGAGCATCTTCGTCGAATCCCGGCATGTTCGTGGAAATTCCGGTTCCTGCAAAGCCAAGAACGCTTGACCTGTCCTGAACTCTCGTAGCCCAATCTCCATCGCAATCATCTGCAATTCGACCGAGAAGAGATTTGCATTCGTCTGCTAAGTCTTCAAGACGCTGGGCGAGAGTAGGATCCACTCCGGAAGACACGCCCGCGCCTAAAATTTGACCCACCAGCGAAACTCCTCGGCGGGTTTTTTCCCAGAGATCCTCTTTGTCTTCATCATCCATGCCACCAATGTCATCAATCGAATCAGATACGTCGTCAGCCCACAACCTGAGCTGGTCCGCTAAGTCGGAGGCTTCCCGTGGCCCGAGTTGAACGGAAGCGGATGAGGGTTCCGTTGGAAGTGGAAGTGGAGCTGGAGCTTCGGGCTGGGGCGGAAGATCAGTTGAAGACGGAGCTGCAGCTTGGAGTGGAGGTTCAATTCTGGAGCGGCGTTCAGGTTTGGGTGGGTGTTGAGGTTTTTCAGCTTTCGGTGGAGGCGGAGCTTGAGCTGCGGACGGCACTGACACGCTCGGAGGTCCTTGCAATTGAGGAGGATCAATTAGAGGCCTACGCGAAGGCCGGGGCGGCTTTGGAGGCGCGACGGGCTGAGAAGTGAACACGTCGGGAATTTTAAGTCGAGATGGACGCGAAGGCGAAGTCGGAGGGCGAAAGTCGAATGGCCGTCCGCCAGGAACTTCAAGAGTGGAGCCGGGCCTGGGAGAAGAGGGAAACTGGGGAAACTTTGCATGTCCTTTGGGGGGCACTGCAGGGGCGGGTGGCTTTTGAGGTGCGGGAGAGGCTGGGCTTTCATCTGGTGATGCAGATCCACTTGGAGATGTTGAAGGAAAGGCTGGCTGTTGAGGAGGTGGTGGACTTCCACTTGGAGATGTTGAAGGAAAGGCTGGCTGTTGAGGAGGTGGTGGAGATCCACTTCGAGATGTTGCAGGAGAGGCTGGCTGTTGAGGAGGTGGTGGAGATCCACTTCGAGATGTTGCAGGAGAGGCTGGATACTGGGGAGGTGTTGGAGATCCACTTCGGGATGCTACAGGAGAGGCTGGCTGTTGAGGAGGCGTTGGAGATCCACTTGGAGATGTTGCAGGAGAGGCTGGATACTGGGGAGGTGTTGGAGATCCACTTGGAGATGTTGAAGGAGAGGCTGGCTGTTGAGGAGGTGTTGGAGATCCACTTCGAGATGCTACAGGAGAGCCTGGATACTGAGGTGTTGGAGATCCACTTCGAGATGCTTCAGGAGAGGCTGGAAACTGCGGAGGTGTTGGAGATCCACTTCGAGATGTTGAAGGAGAGGCTGGAAACTGCGGAGGTGTTGGAGATCCACTTCGAGATGTTGAAGGAGAGGCTGGCTGTTGCGGAGGTGTTGGAGATCCACTTGGAGATGTTGCAGAAGAGGCTGGCTGTTGCGGAGAAGACGGAGATGGGACTCGGGGAGTTGGAGGTCCAGTGGGGGATGGAGTTCGAAGCCGAGGGGATTCAGAAAGGGGTGGAAGATCTTCCTCCGAGGATGAACTTGCATGCCTGGAGGAAGCTCCACTCTGAGGCGGGAGTTGAAGGCCGGAAGCAGGCTCGGGGGAGGACGGAAACTCCGGCGAAGTTTGAGGTTCGGGCGTGGATGATGGGAGTTCTGGCGAAGAGCTCTCAGCTCTCCGGGGTGAAGTGCCAAGAGTTGGTGGAAATTGAGGTAAAGATGCGGGTTCTTGAGGAAAAGATACAGGTTCAGGCGAAGGGGGAGGCGGCGGCGAAGAGGGAGGCTGAGGAACCGAAGGCGGAGGCTGAACTTGGGGTGGAGGATCAGGCTGAGAGGGAGGCTCGGGGGGAGGAACCGGCGAAGCCTCTCCAGAGCCTCCGCAGGGGCCTTCTTCCCCTTCCTCTTCAGTGGCGAGGCGGCGGAAGTGCGTTCGGGGCTGGGAGGAAGACAAGTGAGAGAAGCACTTAAGAAGAAGAAACAGTGTCACCGAGATGGCCAGCGACAAGGCCGTGCCTCCAAGGGCGCGCCACACATATTTTCCAGAAGGAGCCTGCGCAGAAACGGCTCCGTCCATAACATAAAATTCCTCTTTGGAAGAATCCTCCTCAAATGCATGACTGCTAGCAGGGGGAAAGGGTCCGCTGGATGGCAAACGGCTCCGTCCATAACATAAAATTCCTCTTTGGAAGAATCCTCCTCAAATGCATGACTGCTAGCAGGGGGAAAGGGTCCGCTGGATGGTGCCTGCGCTCCTCGGACTGGGAACGAGGCGCCCAGCAGTATGGCGCCACATGAGAAGAGGCTGCGCAACATTATGTTCTCAAACGTGGGCTTTAAAACAAACACTTATTCTTTAAATTTTCGCAAATTTGCTTTCCTGTCTTCATCTTTCGAACCCCGAAACCCTCGTTGGAGGATGCTCACCCCCCCGTGCTCCAAGGACTTCGCAGTGCACTCCTATGCGCAGGCTTTGGCTGAGCGGCAGAACCTCTGTAACTCCCTCCGCACGAAAGCAGCACTTTATTTGCCAAACCAGCAACAAACTTGGCACTTATAAGTGAACTAAATTTCAATGCTGTAGCCCCAATTCGCGAGGTTTCATTGGCGCAAGCTATAACCGTCTGCCATCTGTCAAAAGCCGTCGTCCGCGCCGCGTTTTGCTCAATCATTTCGCATTTTTGGGGTAGTTTTGAATGGACCTTCACCCACTAAAACTAGTCACCTTCGAAACATGATATAATGCTTGTTTCGCGCCTCGAGGCTGCCTTTTCTCTTCAGCAAAGGCCTGATCGAATCATGCTGCTGTTCTGTGGGCTCTGTGTCTGCCTCAGCACTAGCAGCACCAGAGCTGCGCGTTCTTTGTCTTTCTGCACTTTTGCGCTTCTCCAACTTGCTTTTTCATTTCAGTTTTGTGAGTGAAACTAAGTAGCGCATCAAGTTCGCCGCAGGAGTCCTTACGTTGTAGCTCGGCTGCACGCGATGTTTCCTCATCTCGCACCCAATCAGTGGACACGCCATTACCAAACTCACCTAAATAAGGTTAAACTCTCTTTTAAAATAACTTTATGTATTGTTGGACTAGAGAGAACTGCCGCGAAAGAAGCACGAGCGAGTGAACACAGACTACACGGGAGGACGGAGCTAGTGGCGACGCAACGTGAGCGTGCGGGTGCAATGGTTGGAGCTTCATAGTATACATGTCTTTGCTTTAAGCTCTTTCCATGATGTCTACTAGGAGCAAACATTGATTTGGGAATGTTTTTTTGTATACTGAAGCCCAAGAGATGGGAGTAAATCCATGAGCCGCTAAGTAAGCCGGCCCATTGACCAGCGGGGGAAGGGATCATGCCCCCGCGAAAAATGTGAATTCCCCAGACCACGGAAACGCATTGTCCACAAAGAATTTCAAATGATATTTTGATTCTAAAATAATGGTTCATGACTGTTGAATAATACTGTGAAGGGAAGGCAGATAAATCGTGCGCCCTGTAACGGTGCAGGGTTAGGGAGAGGCAGCATTCCAGGTTTTGACAGGACCCTTCAAGGGTCAGATAAGCTTTTATAGGGTGCTCCGATCAGGAAAATAAGTGTCTATTGGTATTCGAAGGCATAGAAGAAGGCTCTACGAGCCACTTAACACTGCACAGCTAGAACCGCGCAAAAATTTGGACTAGTGCATATCGACCCCACAACCGCTCTCGCTGCCTATCCGCGACAAAGAAAGCCCAAAAAGTGGTCACGTACCAATTAGAAAATGTAGGAATAAGGGCGAAAGAGCTTTGTCAGGTCCTCAAGCCTTCACGCGAGCCCAGCTCACACCGAGGAGCATCGTTGGCACACTGTAGGGAATCAGTCAACAGTTCTCGTGATCTAATGCACACAAAGAAGGCGCTGGAGCTACCTTAACAGCTCATCACTGGATGCACGCTGTAACACACAGCAGCAGTTGCCTGCAGCTTCGTTTCTTCTGTATGAACAGATGTGGAAACTAAAGATCTGGGAGTCGTAAGCCAATGCACTTTACATCATTTCACACTGAGACCGACAGATAGCACCACGCTTTCCGTGCAGCAACTTATCATGAATCTTGTGTGGCCAACGCTGGCCGAACGCACAAACTCGTTTCGTGCACTCTATTAAATGCTTTTGTGGCATCCCAGATGCCTTTCCTTGCCACGTTTGCTGCTATAGAGAGAGAATAGGAGGGTCATAGCGCCCATTTCTTTCAGGCACCATCCTCAGCTTTTGTCTATCAGCACGTTTGCAACAATAACATTTAAAAACAACGCTGCACAGACGCGTGAACACCTCTTCAGTGCCGGGAAAGTATCTTTAAGAATCCTTTTGTACTAGTGGGATTGAGGCACTTGCACGTGAGAATTTCAGTGGGAAAGTGAAGTTGAGCTCGTATTAAGTGTGTTGCACAACTAAAGGTTTTAAAATTTCTTTAAATGGCAGCTAGAGTCACAATCAAGTGCCAATTAGACGAGAAACATACATAGTTACATGTGCAGGAGTTGAGAAACTCAAATTTGCAGCGGTGCGTACTGCAGCGGAGCATGAAAATAGCCTAAGATTGCCATGAAAACTGCGTTAAATGCATTTGTAGCATGCATTAAATATGAATTTTGTAAAGGAGGAGCCGAAACATTGGCGAAGACCTGCAAGCCCTGAAGCCATGCCAACGACTTCGGGCCAACAGTGACGCTGTGGCTACCGGGGCCTCACTTAAGGACAAGAAGTTCCGCGTTTCAGAAAGAGTTAGCTCAATTTTTGTTTCCTGTGGAGCCTCTGCCATGTTTAAATCGACCGGTCAAATTGTCACACACAAATATGAATGCTGCTGGGTCAAGAAGAGTTTGTAGGTTTGTTGGCAGTGGGGATTTACGAAGCCGCGGAGCTGCGCTTGGTGCCCTGCCATATTGTTACTTTTCTTAACTCCGCGCTTGTTATTTGCAGCTCGCATGCAGCGCAGATTGGGATTTCGGGAATACCGTGTTCCTTGGAATGGAATGCAGCTCCTTAGCGGGGAGGTCGTGGAAGTCCTCAAAGAGTCTTCAGCGGGTATCTCTAGACAGCCAGTACCCAGCAGAAAGTGCTTCGATTCCTAAGCACTGCAGCGCAAAACATAATTCAAGGAACTGCCTAAGTATTGTAGAAGATGCGAGCACCTGGCTGCACTAGTGGTCTCCAGGTGCAATGAGATCACCGATAACCAGATTAGGATAGCCCAGCCACAGACCGCCGAGGTGAACATCTTATGAAATGCCAGAGTATTGACGTTCGAGAAAGGCACTTTTGGCTCACCAAAAGCCTCCAAAACACGAAAAAGCAAACGCCGCAAGGAGTTTCCTACGCTGTATGGTCCATTTGACCCAGTAGAGCTCGGAGCTGAAATGGTATATTTTAGACATTGCACAATTAGAGTACCAGTGGCAGCCTAGACACGATCAACTGGTATTTGGAAAAGCAACTGTTTCACAGGATGCCCTGTACATTATTACGAGCTAAGATGCCAAGAAAACTGGCTGTACTTTCATGGGAAATCAGTCTGATATCCCTCGACTAACCTGTGCTTGCTTAAAGGCAGTGGAACTAAAAAAGGAGGACAAGAATTTAAAGAAGTGAAGGTGCGAAAGAAGCCCCAGGGAGTTTGGTAAATTAACCACAAAAGCTTGCTTGCCATTGCAAAAGATAGGACAAGGATTTTCGCGGAGAAGCCTTTTGGGAAACTAAGCAGGGGCTCTGGTCGAAGGAAGTGGAGGAACCACGACGAAGGCAGAGTTGCAAGAAAGAAGCATTGTTGCATTACGAGTGTAGAGAATGAAACATTGAAAACAATTGTTTAAAGATAAGAACGCGGACTGAAACTTGGAAGGCAGTGGAGGGGGTGCGCTGACGTGAGATCTTATGCGGGCCACTGCCCAGCGTCAGACACTTTCTAGTCGGAGCCACCCTCCAGGGCCTCCCCCTGCGGAGAATATAACTACAGATTTTAGAAAGCAAATGTAGAGGATGCGGTAGGCAAAGGCACTAGGCCCCGAGAAGCCGTGATTGTAGCTTGTAGCGCTGCAGCGCTGTGCGCTGATCCAGAAATGGCCCTTAGGGTCGTATCATTCAGATTATACCGATTTAAGTAGAAATGGCAAGTGATTGCCTTGCAAAGGCTTGTAGTCCTCAGGCAATCACCCCGGATCTGCTCTGCAGTTAGCCCGGGTTTTGCTGCTGGCAACTGACACCGAAGCTGCAGTGAGCAGCACGGACGAGACCGGACAGAACAAAAAGTGGAATTATAATGGCAATGTCTGGAACCCAACAATTTATAATGGGTGTCTTCAGTGGGTAGTGTTTGTTTTGCACACATTGAACCAAAACGACAGAGACAAGTAGACGGCAAGCCAAGCTTAGACTACTGCAGTAAAGGATTGATGTGGGCAATCGTGTTAAAGGTCAAGGCCTTAGAAGCCTTCCCAAATTGGAAAATGCAGCAACACTTGCCAGATACGGGAGAGATAATGCAGAGTAGGATACAGTGAAGCCTCTCCAGCTGAAAGCAGAGAAGCGCGAACAGGCTCCAGAAAAGGATCTAGAAGAGTTTGTAAGTGGCAAGTGTGAGGGCTAAGAAGAAGTGCGGGCTAGCGCAAGTCAGCGGTCAACTCATCTGTCTGTAAGCAAGAATTGTGTGCCGCGGAAGTGGCGCAAGGCAAGAAAAGGAAGAGCTGGGCAATCAGAAGAAGAATGCAACATGTCAAGAATATGCTATGTTCTGTGGGCACGGCAACGCGAAGTTGATTTGATATGGTCAGTCAAGATAACGAAGCCTGATTGGGCACTGGTACATCTCGCAGCTTAACTCTGTTAACTTGTTGGTTGTTGAAAGGGCATATCGTAGAGCCTAGAGATCTCCTAAAGAACGTGTGTACAGTATTACTAATGGCAAAGGATTGCGTATTGACTGCTCAGTGGCTACAGCGGTGATACTTTTTTTGTCGTGAATGCTTTTCGAGCGGCTCTCAAGCAGTGCATCACTGCAATCTGATCTTGCGGCTGGATTGGATGGCACGATAACAGGCGGCCCAATTCTTAAATCCGAGACGCTGAGAGCTTCTGTAAATTTATAACGTTTTTCTCTACCTGCGGAGCCCTTTAACATAAATGGAGAAGATAAGAGGCCGGGTGAGGCTTGATATAAGACACCTGGAGGGCAGCAATACGAAACGCTGGCAAAGAAGCTACCACGGGTTATGACGAAGGGGCCGCTGACGCCCCTAACCTCTCTAGTTAAGCGGTACACATCACATGTGAGACAAAAGATAAGATATTAGACCGAGAAAACTAGTTTGACGGACAAGTACGGACTCGGGTCAGCTTAGTGCCGGCTACAGCGCTTTAATCCCAAAATGGGTATACCGAAGTTGAGCACAGTTTGTATTCCTGCGACTATGTAAGAGGACGCAAGGAAGCTTTCAGCTGTTCTTCTGAAGAACTACAGAGCTGCCGTAAAAGCGCCTTATTTGGCCCGCATCCCCACTACCACTAAAAGCGACAAATGCCGCCGCGGCATGACTCCAAGCTGGACTGCACTTTGTTTGGTGAATAACTTCATGTAATGGAAGCGTAAAATATATCAAACGAGACAGCATGAGCACAAGCTTCTGTAGTCGATGCATTACCTGCTGGACTGCCGCCAAAGCGCTCCCATGAGCAGCAGCTGTTACTGCTGGCTGGTAAGCTCCCAGCAAGATCCGTTATTCACCTTTTGCTGCGGAAACAGGTTTACTTTCAAGTGCAAAATATGATGAAATTTGCTCCAAATGAGTCAATTCGTCCTGTTTACTCCCTTATACGGTACCCCGCAAGTACTGTTGAGAAGCAGGATGACAGCTCCAGCGAGTCAAAAATACGCACGCTGGTTCAGTATCAGACTGCTTTATGAAAACTAATTGTAAACTGGCATTTTGTACGACTTATTTTGCTAGTAAGTCACTTTATCTTTTGCATTACGCTCAGGGTCTTGACGTCGGGTCACAGCATCCCCATATTCATGGATTTTCCTATTTAAAAGATTCCCAGATTAGAGGCATCAGGAGAGCCATCGCACCGGAATCCAGCAATGAATCTTCATAAAAGAGAGAAACCAGTAAGAATCCAGTGGTAATGGGTTTTTCTTCTTAAGGCTGGAATGTGAAGTTATCCCAATAATGAGGTAACGACTTGAACATGCTTTCAATATGCAGTAGCACTTGTGACTTTCCGTTACTTCTTCAATACTAAACCCCCCTCCACCCCGAAAAGCTGTGTGTCAAAGGTTTAGCCTCAGATATGCCAATACTTTTGCTGTGCGCCTTCTGCCGATTCGCTATTCTCTGGCTTTTTTGTTCGTAATATTCTAATCAAGAAACACCCCTCTCATTGTTCACTTTGCATTTCCACGCTCAGCTCATAGATACTTCACCTTTTGTCCCAGCACCATACTGAAATTATGCAGAAGGAAGAGCGCAAACTGGCATATCTGCTGAAATGCAGAAGCACAAATTTTTGGCATTTCATCTGCAACTCTTGTTAGTTTCGGGACTTCCCACTACGCTAGCTCGCCTTAAATACTTTCCTTTTTGTACATTTTTCTTAAATTGCCACAAAGCTGCACCTTTGAGCGCATTCATACATCAAGATAGTCCGCAATGTGCAAAATCCCATTCGGACTTGTCCTGCTACATCTGCTGACACACGGCCGAATCCTCTTCTACTAAAGTGCATTCAAGCACTGGGATCTATGATTGTGGCACTTCTGTTGCAAAAGTTTCAGGAAAAAATCAAAATTTCAAGAAAACCACTTTGCTGAGCGCGCTGGCAAAGGCTAGGCCCCACAAAGTTGGGATTTCTGAGCCGGAGAGAAACAAACTGATATCAAGTGGTGAAATTCCTGCCCCTTTGTGAGACATTGAGAATTGATTTGTGGCTGCAGCATTGAAGTTGTTATGCGAGAAATTGGAAGGTTAAGCCATCCATGAATTGACCCCCACACACCAAAGACCTCAAACGCGCCAAGACAAACTTACTAGGGTATATTCTGTTGTGCATAAATGCCAAGGCGAAAAGAACGAGTGCCTGCACACCACTCTAGTTGAATTCTCGATAAATTCTCGCTGGTTTCGCACCAGCAACAAACTTACTCTTGACCTCTTCAGCTCAGGAGCTATTCAACAGAGATGAATTCTGAACGTGAGCTAACCAGACGCCACTTCTCAGGTAAAATGGTTTAAATTTCGTTTGTTATGAAGCAAAAAGAAAAGCTGCAGGTACAGAAAAAAGGGAAAAGCCGCATTTTCCGCGAATTTCACGAAGTGCAGACAGCCCTTTTCACCAAGAGCGCGTGAAACTTTTCACTTCCAAGTTTCTTTGGGCTTGACTCAAACTTCCATGACCCCGCGTAATAACTTTTGTGCTGCAGTCACAAGTTTAGGCTGAATGTCTCACGCAGAGGAATAGCAGCTTCATCACTTTTCAGTTTCTGTTTTCCCCGGCTCACAGTTCCCCCTGCCGTGTGGTCTAGCTTTTGCGCTGAATCCCCTTCTTCCCTTGCTTTTATTGCCCTTTTTTCCAATATAATTGTATTTGTATATTATGTTTTCCACTTGTTGTGTGTGTCTCCCAGAGATGATCCCGTCCATTCACAAACACTAGACGAAGACCTGAGGATGCACCACCCCGCTGGGAATAGACCTTCCTCGGAGACCTACACAATTTATTTAGATGAAATTGAGTTCAAAAATCAACAAGAAAAAATAAGAGAAAACAATTTGCATAAGCAACTTCGACACCGGCTCCAGGAGGCTGCAGCGCCGAAGTCTTCTGGGGCCCCAGTGGGGCCCCTGCCCCGGGCCATTGGAACCCAAATCAGACACTGGGGCCCCCCGGGGCCCTCACAAGGGACCTGTTAATCCAAAGAACAAAACCTTCAAGTTTAAATATATCCGAATTAATCATCTTTACGTTTTTGCGGTGCTGGAGGTGCATTTGGGCCCAGAGTAGGGCTTGTTGAAAGCTTCAGTGTTGGCTAGGCCCAAAGCCCCGGAACCGTAAACCCTGAAACCTAAACCCCAAACGCTAAACATTGAGCCCCAAACCCTAAACCCTACGATTTCCCCTTACCGTTAAGGCTTTTTGGTATCGGCTGAGTCGTGTGAGCCCCAGAAGGAGGCCGCCGGCCCCGCTGCAGTTGAGTTGTTTACTACACCCTACTTAAGCAGCAGCAGCAGCAGCAGCAGCAGCAGGAGTTGCTGCTGCTGCTGCTGTTTCTGAGGCTCAGCATGCCTGGGCAGAATGCTTGCACGGCTTGGGCCGGGGCCCCTCTTCGTGTGTAGCTGCGAAGAGCATTAACGCAGCTACCAGACTAACCCCCGAGAGCCTAAACCCTAAACCCTAAACCCTAAACCCCAAGCAAGAAGTGCCTCTTTCCCTATGCTGCTTCTAGGCGGCCTGACGCGTGCTGCTCCTCCGGCAGCTCCCAAAACTCTACGGGGGCCCCCAGGGGGCCCCCCGGGGGGCCCCCCAGGGGGCCCCCCAGACCTCTTTATTCAGCCCCTCAAAACAACCACTTTTCACCTCAGGCTTACTCAACTCAAACTCACTGATCCCCTGCGTCGCAGTGCACGAGGGGAACTAGCAGGGGGGCCCCCAAGGGGGCCCCCAAGGGGGCCCCCCGGGGGCCTCCCTTGGGGGCCTCCAAGGGGGCCCCCAAGGGCTGCAGCATGTAAAGAGTTTGCCATCTGGGGGCCCCACATCTTCACCATTTGGTCTCACCAGCAGCAAAGAGGGGCCCTGGCTTACCCGGGAGCTGTTGCGACAATTTGGCAAGACGCAGCGATTGCAGCAGCAGCAGCAGCAGCAGCACGCAGTCGCCAGGCGCAGCAGCAGCAGCAGCAGCAGCAGCAGCGGCAGCATGGGGACGAAACATCGCTGGTGGAGAAAATCCCTCTTTCGTCCGCAGGCCCAGCAGCAGCAGCAGCAGCAAAGACTTTGTCTCACCCTCGAGCTTTGGCTGGCGTTTATTGCTCGTCTTTTTACCTAGCGTTTCTTGCTGCTGCTCACGCGGCTTCTCCTGCAGCAGCAGCAGCAACAGACGCAGCAGCAACAGCAGCAGCAGACGCAGCAGCAAGGAACCGCGGCTCGCCAAGACCCCGAGGGGCCCTGCAGAAACGGCAGGCAGCAATTGACAGACTGCTGCGGCTGGGGCCCAGGGGCCTTCCTGCTGTGGCTCGTGTTGCTGCTGCTGCTGCTCGCATGCAGCAGCTGCTGCGGGCCCCCAAAGGGCCCCCCAGTGGGGCCCCACACAAGACGCTGTGGCAGCAGGAGCTTGCTGCTGTTCTTGCTTCTACTTCTGCTGCTGCTGCTGCTGTTGCTGACCGGGCGTTTTGGTGGGCCTTTTGCACCGCAGCCGCAACTGCTGCTGCAGCGTTTTCACCCCAAGAGGCCAGCAGCACAGCAGCAGCAGCAGCAGCAGCAGCAGCAGCGGGGGCCCCGGGATGGAAGAGGCTCCAGGAGCCCCACCAGCGGATGCTCTTGGGGCTACAGGAAAATATAAGACAGGTAAGGTTTAGGGTTTAGGGTTTAGGGTTTAGGGTTTGGGTCTCCTGGCCTATGTTACGACGCCTGCCCACTGTGTGATGGCTAGGGTTTACAATAGAGGAATTAGGGTTTAGGGTTTAGGGTTTAGGGTTTGCGCTGCAGCATGGCCAGAGTTATGCTCTTCATCAGCTGCTGTCAGCCCTGGAGGCGCTGCAGCGGCTGCAGCAGGTGCCTTCTGCTGCTCGGCCTGCTGCCACAGCAGCAATATCCGCAGCAGCAGCAGCAGCATCTGCAGAAGCAGGGGCATTCGCTGCTGCTTGTGTAGAGCTAGAGGTCAAAAGGAAAGCAGCAGCAGCAGCTGCTGCTGCTGCAGATTTGCCACTGCTGCTGCTGCGAGTCGAGGAGGCTCTTCGGGCGAAGCTGACGCAGGCAGCTGAAGCAGCTCAGCATGCTGCTGCTGGTGCTCCTGCTGCAGCAGCAGCTGCTGCTGCTGCTGTCGCGAATGCAGGGCCAGCCACAAGACAAAAAGCATCCACAGCAGCAGCACAGGCAGCAACAGCAGCAGAGGGGAAGAAGGCTGTGTTCTGCAGCTTTTTGCTGCGGGCGCTGCGTCTGTTTGCTGCTGCTGCCACTCCCTGTCCCGCTTTGCTTCAATTCACAAGTTGCACACTGATATCCAAGTCAGCTGCCGTTGCTTCTGCTGCTGTTGGTGCTGCCGCTGCACTTGCCGCTGCTGCTGCTGCTGCTGCTGCTGTTGGTGCTGCCGCTGCACTTGCCGCTGCTGCTGCTGCTGCTGCTGTTGCTGCTGATGCTGGTGCAGCTGTCGGTTCAGCTGTAGAGTGCAGCATGCGTTTCTCTCTTGACTTGAATCTGCTGCGCTGCGTTTGCTGGTGCTGCTGCTGCTGCGCTTGCTGCTGCACTTCCTGCGTGGTTTGCTGCTGCTGCTGCTGCAGATGCGCCTGGTTTTCTACTGGGCAGCTAGTGGAGCTGTCAGAGCTGCTGCTGGAGCTGCAGCCCGAAGGCCAGACGAACTTAGAGGCCCTGCATGCTCTCAATGCCCGTAAGTCAATGCCTAGCAGCAGCAGCAGCAGCAGCAACAGCAGTAACAGCAGTAGCAGCAGCAGCAGGGTTTCTTTCGCATCTTAGGTAGAGCCTGTGGCAGCACGTAGAGGCGAGTGGAACAAAGAGACGATCTGGCGACTATCGCTGCTGCTGCGTTTGCTGCTGCGGCATCTGCTGCTGCTGCTGCCCTTGCTTCCGCTGCAGCACACGGCTGCCGTTTGCCCTGCTGCGTTTTGTGCTGCAGGCCTTACAGCAGCTGCTGAAGCGTCTGAGATATCTCTGCAGCAGCTGCTGGTGAGTTCCCTTGCTGCTTAGGCTTAGTTGCTGCTGCTGCATGCGACCAAGTCGGTCTTTCCTTCGATGAATCCACCCATGCTGCTGCTGCTGCTGCTGCTGCACTTTGTGCTGCAGCGCCTCATTCGGGCCTATGGAGGCATGGGCCTCACAAGCCCCTCTCTTCTAGCAGCAGCCCTTAGCCACTTTCCTGCCCCTGGGGCCTCGGGGGGCCCCCTTCTGGGGGCCCCTGTACCCTGTGGAGTGCCATCAGAAGCAGCAAAGGCAGCAGCAATGCGAGCGGTCCTTTCTGCAGCAGCCGAGGCGCTTCCAGAGCAGCAGCAGCACGAGCCGTTGCTGCGGTGCAGCACGGCCTATGCGCAGTCTCTGGCTGACTACGAGGCAGCAGCAGCAGTCGCAACAGCGGCAGCAGCAGCAGCGGACCCTAAGGGCGTCACTACCGAATTTCAGTAGGGCTATGTTGTTGCAGATGCTTCTGCTGCTACAGCAACACCTTTTCCTGCTGCTGCTGCTGCTGCTGCTGCTTCTGGGTGGAATTAGGCGACTTCAAGAAAGAGCAGCAGGAAGCTGCAATTGTGCTGCTATGTTGCTACTGCTTTCTGTCCTGCTGCTTGTGCAGGCCTGCCTTGGTGTTGCTGCAGTGCTTGCTGGAGCAGCAGGCTCTTTCCCGACCGAAGCTGCTGCAGCTGCTCCCCACCTTGCTGCGGGAGCTGCAGCGAGGTAGGCAGCAGCAGCAGCAGCAGCTGCAGTTCTGCGGCCTCGTACTTTCCGCATGTGCCAGCTGCGAATTGCACCTGGTGGAGCTCTGGGAGGAACTGCTGAGCCCGTTGCTGCAGATGCCTCCTGCAGACGATCCTGCTCCAGCAGCAACAGCAGCGGCAGCAGCAGCAGCGCCGTGGGGAGGCTGGCTGCTGTCTCGCCCTCTGCTGCAGCATGTGGAAGTAGCAGTTGCTGCTGGATGTTTCTGTGGGGTTGCTGCCTCTGGCAGTGAAACTAAAGAGAACAGAGAGGAACTGTTGCGTGCTGCAGCGTCAGCAGCAGCGCACGCAGCAACATTAGCAGAAGGATTTCTGGCGTTGCTGCGGCGCAGCAGCAGCAATTTTAGTCAGCTCACGGGGGAGGCACTGCAGGACCTAACAGAGGATATATGTGGTGAGACTGCTACCGTTGCTGCGTCGGTTGTGCTGCTGCTGCTGCTGTAGTTGTGGTGCTGCAACTGTTGCAGTTCTGGTGCTGCTGCAGCTGCAGCAGCGCGGGTGGTAGCCAAAGCTGCGCATTTTTTGCTGCGGGCATGGTGGCACTAATGCAGGCCTCTATCGAGCACACGCTGCTGCTGCAGCGCTGCTCGATCTACAGCAGCAGCAGCAGCAGCAGCGGGAAGCCTGCTTCCAGCTGCAAAAGGAAGACGCACCAGGGGCAGCACCTCCAGCAGCAGCAACACAGCCTTTTCGTGAACTTCTTACTGCGGAGTTTCCCGAGCTGCAGTTGTCGCAGCAGCAAAAGCAGAGGGGGAACAAGCACGCGCAGCAGCTGCTGCAGCAACAGCAGTTGCAGCTGCAGCAGCAGCTGGCGCAGCAGAGAAGCGATTTGCTGTTCTTGCTGCTCTCCGAATATGCGTGGCGAGGCACCCCAAGGTGAACTTCAGATCCTGAGACTAATATGCATGTTAAATATATTATTTTTAAATAGTTACTTCTGAAAACTTAAACAGCAAACGCAAAAATGCAAAGTGTTCTTGAGACAACATTCAGCACGAGGCCGTTACAGTGTGCACATACACAGGATAGATATATATGTATAGAAATATACATATGCACATGCATATATATGTATATATATGCATAGATATCTATTTGCATACTTATGTAATTACGTAATAATATATACAGATATATTCGTGCACTCATGCATATAAACATATATATAATATATATACACATATATATTTTATACATAAGTGCATGAATATACTCATTATATGTACTTACGTAAATAAAGCATAAATACATACATGTGTACCTGTATATATATATATACATAAGTATAAGGATAATGACATATATGTGGACATATATGTATTCACCAGCAGTGTGTGCATGTTATGCTGTATGCATATACACATATTCATATAGCCACTTACCTGCATATATAATATAAATGATTATCTATTTATATATTTGTACTTATATATGTGCGCTGCTGCTGCTTCTTTGTGTAGCACTTTCACTTTGTGGTTTTGGGGCTTCAGACTTAGTCTGGAGATTTGTTTTTATCTATTTGTTTGCATCCTGTGGCTTTTCAAGTGCGTGCTGTTGATGCGAAAGGCCTATTCGCGGTCTAATATCAAGTGCTGCCTCGTCTTGCTGCTGCTGCTGCTGCTGCTGTTGCCGCTGCTGCTGCTGCAGGAGCGGCGAGCAACTGCCACCGGCTCTGCTGCTGGAAATTGAGGGAAAGGCTGGCGGGGGGCCCGGGGGCCTGCAGCAGCCAGCAATTTGCTGCTTCTTGCAGGCAGCAGCACGAGGAGCTGGCGCACTGAGCCGCAGCAGCAGCAGCAGCGACGGCGGACAAAGCAGCAGCAGCAGCCACACAGAAAGTGACGAAGGCAGCACGTGCGGAAGCAGCAGCATCGCGCATTCAGCTCCCGCTGCACTTAATGTAGAAACAGCTGCTGAGTGCAGCAGCAGCATTAACAGCACCAGGCCGGAGCCCAGCAGTGCTTTTATTGATTCGCTGTTGCTGCTGCCTCAGCTGCTTCATGAGGGCCTGGCCGTTTCACCCCCGCTGCAGCAGCTGCTGTCGCTGCTGCTGCTGCTGCCGAACGAACAAGGCCTAGAAGCACTTGCTGCTGCAGCAAACCGCTACATGCTGCGCCTTCAGCAATTGCTGCTGGCCGCCCGCCTGCAGCAGCGGCACAAAGGGGGCCCAGAGGGGCCCCATGAAGTCTCCAAAGCCCCAAGGGCCCCCTGAGGCTGTAGAGGGGCCCCACTGTTTGGGTTCATTCATTTGTGTATTTATGCACATTTATACATATTTAAATCTGTCATTTTTGTGTTCCTGCGCTCACAGATGTATTTACTAACCAACATTTTGGCTGGGGGGAGCGAGCAAAGACTTACGGCGAATAGAAATGAATGAGGTGTACATACACTGCAGGCCAGTGACCGTTCGAGGAACGGTACATGCACAGTTGTGGTTGCTGCTGCTGCTGCTGCTGCTGCTGCTGCTTCAGTAGCTGCTTTGGCTGCCTTTATAACGCAAAGAGAGAACTTAGGCCTCAATTCTTTTTTCCTGAAATGCTTCTAATTATGCACTGACTGAGATGCGCATCCGCAGCCGCAGCTTGAAGAGTAAGTACACCTAGTACGTTCATGCAAGTAACTTTTGTGTGTCTGTGGAGTATAAAAAATAAATACAAAATATGGAAAGACAGGCACTATCTTTGAGCTCTTGCGCCGGGCGAAGCCAGCAAAGGAGTAAAAAATAGAGCCAACGACAGCTCCTGCAGCACGCTCGCCATTTGCATGCGCAGGTCTGCTGCTGTAAGAGCCCACAGCCTATATGCATGCATGCATGCACGCATGCATGCACGCATGCATGCATGAAGTTACTTTGCATGCATTTCCAGCTGTGCAGCTCCGCTTGCGTCTATACATGTACGTGGGGCACACGTATGTTGTACAGACAGTGACGCACAGGGATGAGCTTCGAATGCATGCGTGCGTGCATTGGCTAGCCAGTGCATGCATGCACGCATTGGCTGCATGCATGCACTGGCTGCCAGTACATGCATGCATGCATTCATTGCACAGCCCGTGCCCGCATCCGGCCTTTTCACTTTGCAAACTCGGTTCATCTCACCAGCCCGCCCAGCACGCGGCACAGAGATGGCGCACAAGCAAGTGTGGCATATCTGCATGCACAAGTGTATATGTGTTTGTGTTATTGCGTTTTTATTTGTGTTATATCATTATTGCATGTATGTTGTGTTTGAAGATTCACTTGTCTGTGCTGGGCAGTAGATCTATGCATGTTCAAACAAGCACCAATACTTGTGTGCATTTGCATGCATGCTTACCCAGTACGCGTGGAGGCGCATTCCTAGAGCATGCATCATGCACATATTAAAAAAATACTCTATATACAGTGGGCACACTTTATATACAACATATACACAATGTATATGTGTGTCTGCATGCAATACCCACGCGCACGATAAACGCATGCAGCCGCCGACATACATTTGGCTGGTCCACTTATGGTTATTTGTTTTAAATTGTATTTTCTGTTGTCTTAAATGGACTTCTTAAAAGGTTTTCGGTTTTGCATGCAAGTTGTTGGTTGGGTGACCTGAGTGCGCTGTAACGGTGCCAAGCAGCGACAATGCAAACAGCAAGAGCGAGGTAAACGGGTCGAGTCAATTAAATAGTCCTAAATATATAATTAATTAATTCATTCCATCAGATTACGCGTATCCATTCAGCAATCCTATTAAATACTACGAGGCCAACCGCCACTCATGTGCAGCGACTCCAGGAAAAAATGCAGAAAAAACACAACTGGGCCGCAGCACCAGCTGCTGCTGCTGCTGCAAGAGCAGCGCCCCGCGCTGCTGTTACACCTGCCACAACAGCAGCAGCTGTTGCAGTAGCTGCCGCTGCTGACCTCACCGCCACGCCACTGCTGCCGCTGGCTCTGCGGATGCGGCTGCTAGTAGTGCTGCTGCTGCAACTGCAGCTGCTGCTGAAGCAGCGCTTTTTGCAGCTGCTTTAGAAAGAGCTGCTGCTGCCGTTCCCACAGCTACAGCAGCGCCAAGAGCTGCACAGGAGCTGCTGCTGCTGTTTCCACAGCAGCAGCTAGAGCTGCAACGGGAGTTCCTGCTGCCACTGCAGCAGCCAAAGCAACAAACAGCTATCTCAGTCCCCAAACCTCTATTTCCATCAACTTGCACTCCGAAAACTCTGAAGTAAACAGCGGAGCAGAGTTGAAGGAAGCCGAGGGGTAGCTGCGGCAGTGCGACAGATCCGCGTCCACCCACAAGGCGACCCTGCAGCAACCATCGAAAAATTGCAAAAAAAGCAAAATAACAACTAAATAGAGTTTTGAAACTGCAAGAAAGAACAAAAATGCGAAAAGCAAAAGATCATCTGCACTTTTTCTGCAAACAACTGCCTCTGCAAAGTTGCAACGGCTCAATAGGCAACAAGATGAAGCAACGAGACGAAGCAGCCACTGCTGCTTTGACGAATGAAAAAAAGGAGTGCATGAAATAATAATACCGGAAATAGTTTAAGTACTAAATATAACAATAATACAGACAAAATCCGCAAAATCATGCAGAGGCAAGCAACATTAAGCTTAGCCAACAAACGTGAACTCCACGCACTCAAGCTCATAAAGAACACATAAAGATATGAAGAAGATAAAATGGACTGCAGCAACCACGACGGGCCTCTACGCATGTTTGCTGTAGCAATTATCTATCTAAAACCTTATTCGCTACTGACTTCCTGCAATGAAAGATCTCAGAAAGAACATGAAACTAGGCGGCAGAGCAGAGTAGTGAACAAGAAGTGAAGAGAAAAACAAATCAATGGAAGGCAAAAAGAGAAGAAGGATTCAATGCGGTTCAAAAAAGAGAAAGAAGAATCGAACAGGACAGATCGAAGAAATGGAGGAAACAAATAAGCAAAAGGAAGAAACGAAATGCGATTGAGTCAAAAATCTCAAAAGAGACAAGAAAAGGCAGCAAAAAGTGAAATGATATAGAGAGAAATGAGCGGGAAGTCAGTCAAACAAGACTGAGAATAAATAAGAACTGAACAGGGAAAAAAGAGAAAAGAACAGCAATTTAAGTAATAGGAAAAAGAAAGCAAAACGAGCTCAATCCGGAGAGGGAAGGCAAAAGAGCAAGAGACCTGAAAAGACCCAACGGGCTGCCTTGCAGGACGAAGAGAAGCAAAGAGCAAATTGAAAAGAAAGAGGAGCCAAAAAAGTCACAAAAAAGATGAAAAGAAACAAAAAAAAGGAGAAAAAAGTAGAAAAGAATTCAACAAATTACCCGTCGCTGCCCAGAAATATTCCGTCGCTGCGGACTCGCAGAAACACCGCGTTTTTGCCGGTCCACCAAAAGGCGTTTGGCTTGGGGGTTAAAGTGAAGACAAAGGCATCACTGAGGTCTGTGCCTGGAAAAAAAGAAGAAATAAATGATACAAAATACTATTTCGAGACTAAATAAGACAAAAGATGCCTTCTGTACTTGTCCAGATCGACAGCCGAGGGCGCAAAAAAGGCAAAAAACGAAAGAAGAAGCAGCAGCAGTTCGCAAAGCTGCACAGAAAGGCCACAAAAAGACCCAAAACAAAAACAGCCACAAATGCATCTTTTCTGAAGGCAAAAACCCACATATGAATCCACAAAAACCCAGATAAAAGCCTTTTAATTTATTTATTTCGTGTTCCCCTTTCTGCCCAAGTTTGGTTTCATGTGTATAAATCTGTGTGTGTCTGTGCAGATTAACTTGCGTCTTTATGACTGTTTAAGAACGCATTTCAAGGCATCTCCGTGTACTGATGTACATGAATGAAGAACTCAAGTACATACCAGTATATACATATACATATATATATGTATTTATATTA